CCCCACGATGCCTGGGATGGCTTTTGCCTGTGTTCTCTGGGACTGTGGGAAGGGACCCTGGCCTGTATGTGCTGGGCATGTGATCTCCACTGCGACCACCTGCCTTGCTCTCCAGTTTTAATCCCAGCTGCAGGATCTCCTGCCCTGGGAGGAGTCAGGGACTAGGATGGCACCATTCTACGGGATACCATTCTGCCTCCACAGGCTTTTTGTTTTTATTTTCAGCACTGGGGTTTTTTCGGTATTGGGAATCGAACTTAGGACCTTGTACTTGCCAGGCAGGCGCTGTGCTACTGAGCTGTATCCCCAGCCAGTACTGGGGATTAAACCCAAGGCCTCTGCACTGAGCTCTGTCCCCAGACTTTTTTATTTTTTATTTTGAGACTGGGTCTCACTAAGTCACTAAGTTGCCCAAGCTGACGTTGAACTTGGGATCCTTCTGCCTCAGCCTCCCAGAGTTTTGGGATGACAGGCGGCACCACCACCATACCTGGCTGTCTGCAGTTTTTATCCAGCCTCTTATTCTGTGTCCTGTGCTTGGCCTCTGGGAGGGAGGGCTGTTACCCTGTTTAAACAGAACCCCAGCAGAAGCTGGTGTGGGGGAGGAACCCGAGTCCTCCTCCCTTGGCACTGCCACTGGCCTTGAGCCTCCCTTCCCCAGCTGCCTTCCCTCCCTGTCCCTTGCCTCTGGGTTTCTCTGCAGGGGCTGGAGCAGGATGAAAGCACAGGGCCTCTTGGCCCCAGGCTGCTGGCAGTGGCACAGGGCAGGGGGTGGCCACGCCCTGTGTGACCACAGGTCCCTGAAGCTGTCTCCCTTGGAAGCAGGGTCAGTGTCACACGTCACGCAGGCTGGGTCTCCTCATGCCAGCGTCCACCTGGTAGCCCCCAGCAGTCCTACCTGCCCCCCCCCTCGCTGACCTTGGCTTTGCCCCAGCATCATCCGATTCCCCTCTGCCAGGGCGTCCTGCCGAGTCCTCTTGATGCCCGCAGCTTCCTTCCCAGCCTCTCTCCAGTGCTGCCAAGCACCCTCCTGGGCCTGCTTGCAGCCCTCTGTCCTCTGAGGTGGCGCTATGTTGGGTCCTTTCTGGTTCCAGAGGTGAAATCTGCATGATGCCCAGCCTAGAGGTCCTAGGGGCCTGGGCGCTGGGGGAATTGGCTTGGGCTGACCCCAGGTGTCCTGGGCTGGGCACAGCTGGCTTCCTGCCTTTGAAGTTGAGAGGTAGTGTGTAGCCAGCCAGGGCTGCATAGCAAGACCCGCTCTCAAAACCCCAAAAGTAAGACTGAAGGAAACAGCGTATGTCTGCGCGTTGGTCCTCGGTGGAAAGGTGTCGGCGGGTGCGGAAGGACACCCACGTGCGCAGAGCCGCTCCCCGCCTCTTTCCCCAGAGCACCGCAGGCCCTCCTCTTGCGGAATGCCTGTTACATCTGGAGGCTCCGACGGGGGCAGGCAGGCCGGGCGCAGGGCCTCGAGCCCCACGTTTGCACTCCAGGCTGGTGCAGAGGGGAAGGGCGGGGGCCCGTGCAGGTCAGCCTCTGCCCGCGGGTGCCGGTGCTCCCACGTGTGTGCTTGGCCCATTTGTCCTGGGAAGGACCGGCTTGTGTAACCGTGGACCTCGTCACTCAGTGCTGTCTGACACCTGCCCTTGGCCACGGCTGCCCGCGTGTCCCCAGTGTGTATGTGGTCAGCCCCGTTCGAGAAGAGCCCCTGCCCAGAGGAGCGCAGGACTTGAGTCCTGTCTCTCCGAGCCCGGCCTCTGCTCCGCGAGGTCACTGGCAACCTTGCGGGAAATGTGCTGAGACCGGTGTCGGTGGCTGTGAGGTGGCGGAGCCGTCTCCACAGTTCCTTACACAGCCTTATGTCCCGGACGGAACCCTGTCCCTTCGTGTGTCCCTTCGTGCTCACCGTGAGCACACGTTTCCACGCGTGCTTTCTCTTCTCTTGAGCATAGTTCAGACTGCACCATGTGGGGAGACTGGCTGTGTGCGCAGTGCTGTGCCGCGCCGTGCCCTTCTGCCGGGCGAGGGCTCCTCTTCCTCCCGGTCCTCGCCCACACGCGTTCCTGTCCCTGTTTCTGATTCCAGCGTCCCCGCCTGTGTGAAGGGTTAGCTCCTTCAGGATCTTGCAGTTTATTTTGGCTGAGGATGGAACCCCAGGGCCTTGGGCACCCTAGACAAGCATTCACCCTTGAACTTCTCCCACCCATTTTATTTTTCACCTTGAGACAGGTCTTGTGAGCTTGCTGACTTACCTGGGCGGGCCTCAGACTCCCAGTTCTCCTGCCTCAGCCTCCTGAGTGCTTGGGCTGACAGGTGTGCTCCGCTGTGCCTGGCTTCTTGGTGGTCAAGCCTATTGACCTGAGCCTATTGTCTTGTGCCTGTGGCCCATCCAGGTGTCTGCTGTGGAGCCAGGCCTGAGCTCATTTGTAGCCCAGGCTGGTCTCGAACTCGCAACGATCCTCCTGCCTCAGCCTCCTGAGTGCTGGGATTACAGGTGTGCACCCCCTGCCCGGCTCGTTTCGGTGTCTGTGACAGTGATGCCTGAAAGAAGGGATAGCAGATGGGGCAGCCCCCCGCTTTTGTTGAGACAGGTCTTACAAAGTTGCCCAAGTTGGGCCGGGGTTTACAGTCTTCCTTCCTCAGCTTCCGGAGTGCTGAGATGACAGGCGTGCGCCACCATGCCTGGCTCCTTGGCCGGTTTTAAATCGGTGTTTTGCACCTTATTGTTTAAGGGCCTCACTTTCCTGTGTGGGCTGCATTACTCTTTCTGGACACTTCAGGGCCCCCCGTGGGGACTTGACAAGGCCCTCTGTCCCCATCTTTGATAACCCAGAGGTTGGGTTCCAGGGCAGGGCTTCAATCAAATTCTGGTATAAATTATATACATGCATGATTTTTTTCCCTCTGGGGACTGAGCTACATCCCAGCCCTTTTATTTTTTATCTGAGACAGGGAAAATCACTTCGAACAGTACAAATAAGCTAGAGCAAAACAAGGCCATGCGCATTCTACCCCCGAGGCGCCCTTCCTCACTGGTGGCGTGCACAGAGCTCTGCCCGTCCTGGGCGCCCAGGTGCCAGCTGTCTCCGCAGCCCAGGGGGACGTGCGTGTTGCTGTGCAGGTGCCCTGTGTCATAGGAGGACTGCCAGCCGCGATCACCAGGTGCAGTGTGCGAGAGACCTTATAGCTCCACGATGACGCTAATATCCCTGTCAAGGTCCTGTTCCCTCCAGGTCCCAGCTCCCTGAGGACGTTCCCAGAGCTCCTGTGTGCTGCGGAGCCGTGTCAGCCCTGGGAGGCCCTGCGTGGTCGGTGTGCGGGGCGGGGGCCGGGGCGGGCAGTGGGGACTGGGGTTCACCGCCAGAGAACGGCAGAGTCGCAGGCAGGGAGTTGGGTCTCGGGGCTGGTGGGCCAGTGTGGTGGCCTTGGGCTCCTGAGACTGACGTTCTGGTGAGGGCTGCCAGGTGGGAGGACGGCTGTACCAGCTGCCTGAGGTGTTCGTGTTAGCCCCGACCTTTGTGCCCTGCGGGCAGCACCGCGGCTTCTCTGGGAGATCGAGGTCTCAGAACACAGCCAGGGCCTTGGCGCTGGTGGGCTGTCCCCACAGGTAGCTCCTCACGAGTGCAGCCAGTGGGACCCTCATGGTGGGGCCTTGGCCACCGTCCCCAGTGCTGAGCTCCAGGGAGCCAGGGGCACCTGGGTGAACAGAGGGCAGGTGGTGGGGAACTGGGTGTCCGGAGAGGTCCTGCTTCTGCTTGAACAAGGCTTGCAGGTGCAGCTCCATGGGATTCCTGGGTAGTTGCTGCCCTCTAGTGCTGCCACGGGGAGCTGCAACTGACCACAGGGCACCCTCAGTCAGTTGGGGCCCCGCCTTTCCCGGGGTTGCCCCGGGCCCTAGGGCAGAGTGTGTATTGCCGCTTTCTTGTGTTCTCTGGTCCATATGGGGGCAACTGGGTTTCTCTTACCTCGGACATGTCTGAGGGGTGCTATGGCTCGTGCCTCACCTGTGGAGCGTTCCATGGCCAAGGAAAACCCTTCCCCAGGTGGTGGGCCGTACCCTTCCTGTTGGGTGGGGCTACCCGGGACAGGAGGGAGCGGCTCAGCCTGTGCTTCCTGCTGAGACACTGGCCTGGTGCCGGAGGCTCTAGGTGGCACCAAGACTCCCGTGATGCTCTTCTTTGCCCAGCGCAGGCATGTGCACAGCCAGGGGACCGGAGTGTCTCCTATGGCAGGGACTGAGCCCTTCAACCAGGCCTCCTGTGCGCCTCCTGTCCGAGTCCTTGCTCTGGGCCTGAGCTCTGTTGGGCCCTGCCTACCCTCCCTGTTTTTGTGGTCCCGGGCTTCCCCGAAAGGATCCACGCTCCTCACTGAGCCACATCCTGGGGGTTCGCTGACTGAGCTGCCCAGGCTGGGCTCCAACTTGAAATCTTCCTGCCTCAGCCTCCCAGAGTGCTGGGATGACAGTGTGCACCACTGCACCCTGTGACCCTCTTTCATACCCAAGCTGTCTCACTTCCAAGAGCACATCCGGGACTGTGGTCTCAAGTACACGTCAGAAGTGTGCGGATTAGGGGCTGGGGATTTAGCTCAGCGGCAAAGCGCCTGCCTGGCAAGCGCAAGGTCGTGAGTTCAGTTCCCGGTACCGGAGAAAAACCAAAAAAAAAAAAAAAAGAAGTGTGCGGATTGATTTTGAACCCCAAGCCAGTGTGGAGGATGCGTCTCTGACAGTGACAGCTTTTATTTCTGAGGCTGCCGTTAAAATGAGTGCGCTGGCTTCCTGTATCGCCTTGGCTTTCAAAAGTAGGACGCCTCTGCTTTTAATTAGCAACGTCATCCTGCCCTGTGTGTGCGTGCGGAGCTGGCTCGCAGTTCCCTCTCGCCTTCCCTGGCTGCGGGGGCAGCGCCTTTGTCCCCGTGGCCGCGGGTATTCTTAGTGCTCTGAGGGAGCAGAGGCTGGGGCGGCGGGGCAGTGCTGAGCGCTCACCCTCTCTTTTCTCCCGCAGGTGTGGCGCCCACGCAGCTGCAGCCATGGGGTCCGAGGACCACGGGGCCCAGAACCCCAGTTGCAAAATCATGACTTTTCGCCCAACTATGGAAGAATTTAAGGACTTCAATAAATATGTGGCCTACATAGAATCGCAGGGAGCCCACCGGGCAGGCCTGGCCAAGGTGGGTGACCCCTGCTCCCTCCTCTGAAGGGCCCCCGTGTGTCTGTCTGCTGTGGCTCCCTGGCCCTGACCCCCTTGGCCAACTCGCTGGTGGGGTTCTCAGGGAGCTGGTGGGTGGGGAGACAGAGCCGGGCCACCTTTGGCCCTGAGCCACGTGCCCCCCCCGCCCCCCGCAGAACCAGGAGGCCTGAGGTCTTTTGCCTTCGTGTGGTGACGTAGGGTGACGTGTGAGTCCCCTCCCCACACCCTTTTTTTTTGTACCAGGAATCAAACTCAGGACCTTGTGCCTGCCAGGCAGGCGCTTGTGCTGCTGAGCTATGTCCCCGACCCCCTTCCCACACCCTGCCAACTCTGAAGCAGCTATAGGTCTTTTTGGCCTTTCCAGGATAGTGTGTGCGTGCACACGTGTGTGCAAGTGTGGCGACGTAGGCAGACGCACCAGTGTCGCACAGGTCCCTCAGCCTTGGGGCACAGCTCACCCGACAGCTCAGCGCTCAGATGCATCCTGTGTGTCTCCGGGCTCTGTGGCTTGCTTGCACATGACCCCGCTTTACCCAGACGCCCGTCCCGGTTCTGCCAGAGTGGGCGGACCCTCTCTGCGCGCGCAGCAGCAGCTGGTGCCACTCGAGAGCCGCATGTGTGCACGATGCGCCTGGTGCGCCAATAAACTGTTCCTGGACGCGGGAGTGTGATTTCCTGTCGCTTTCACTTGCTCCAAGATAACCTTTTCATTTCCTCCCCAACCATTTAAAAACGAAAAAAAACAAACAGGAGCTGGGGAAGAACCCACGGCCTCACCCACTGCGCCCCCGCCCCCGCCCCGTCCTCCGCCCTCTCCCCCTTGTGCTGCAGTTTGCCAGCTCAGGACAGCCCTGGGCCCCTGGGTCCCTGTCCCCGTCCCCACCCCGGTGTCTCTGTCTTTGCTCTCCTCAGCCTTTGTCCCCTGCCCCTGACTCTCCTCCTCCCGCGGATGCAGCGGTCCTTTCGGTTTGCAGAGCTGTGGTGACCCGACACCTGCGACTGTCCTGCTCTCCCGAGGCAGCTCTTAGTGCCACACATGGCTTCTCCGGTTCTGTCACCTCCTGGCAGGCTGTCCCGATCTGGCCTGCTGCAGGCCCGGCTCCCTCCTGGCCACGCCAGCACTTTCTGTCTTGGGGGTGTGGTCCCAGTTGGCACTGACCTGGCAATCTGTGTCCCTCTGGCATGTCCGGCTCCCCTCACCCCACCCGCTCTACCTCCTTTGCCTTCGCCTTTGTGTCCCTGGAGCCCCAGTGCCTCTGCCTCAGCCTCTGCCCTGTGCAGCTCCCTTCTGGACGGGCTGAAGCCAGCAGGAAGCCCCTGGGCCCAGGGCCTTGTGTGGGATGTTCTTGGTGCCGCCTTCACGTTTGGATCTGCTTTGGGTGTGGTAGGGACAGGAGGATGGGACAGGCTGCTAGGGGCCTGGGGAGATACGGGGAGAGGAGCAGAGGCGCGTCGGCACCCACATGTGGCCGCCACACATCCCTCCTCCCGATGCTCTGTGGGGACAGATGGGCTCCGGCGACCATCTGCTCTGGTCCCAGACACCTCTGCTCCTCCAGATGGGGTCTTGGCTCCTGGGGCGCTAACCTCTCTGGAGAACAAGTGCAATGCCTGCTGGCTGTGCATGTGCTGTGGGGACACGGTGTCCCCACCCTGCCTGGGTCTTACCGGCCTTCAGCACCCTTGGTGTGTGTGGGTGTGCGTGTGTGCACTTGGTGCTGGTGGTGGGTGTGCCTGCTTGGGGTCAGCTGACTCCGGTGCCCCTCAGCGTGCTGCAGCTCTGTGCACGTGCCTGCAGCCAGTGCGGTGGGTGGGAGAGGCCCCGTCCCTCCAGCCTGGCTGCCGCCTGTGCACCCTTCGTGAGCTCTGCAAAGGGGCCGGATGCCGTGGCGTCAGACACCTGAGCTTCTCTGGGTGCCATGCTTGTCCCTGCACCCTCCAGTGCTATGTGGCCTGTCAGGGACAGTGCAGCTCTGGTGCAGGCCAGGAGAGTCCTGGCTCGTTTCGGTGTCTGTTTTTTTTTTTTTTTTTGTCTTTTTGAGACAGGGTCTCACTATGCAGTTCAGGCTGGCCTTGAGCTCACTTTGTAGCCCAGGTTGGTCTCGAACTCGCAACGATGCTCCTGCCTCAGCCTCCTGAGTGCTGGGATTAACAGGCGTGCACCCCCTGCCTGGCTCGTTTCGGTGTCTGTGACAGTGGTGCTTGAGAGAGGGGACAGCAGATGGGGCAGCCCCCTGCTTTTGTTAAGGCAGGTCTTATGAAGTTGCCCAAGCTGGGGTGGGGTTTGCAGTCTTCCTGCCTCAGCCTCCGGAGTGCTGGGATGGCAGGCATGCACTATGGCCCCTGGCTCAAGGCTCTCTCAAGAAAATGGAGAGTTGAAGTATTGGAGAACTGCAAGTTGGAGAATTCAGGGTGCAGCATGTCGGGGAAGCAGAAGAGCTGGGAAGCAGCCTCCTGCAGTGGGGCTGGGCAGGTGGGGTGGGGCGGGGCCGGCTGTGGGCTCCCTGTGTGGGAGGCACAGGCACTCTGTGAGGCAAGGGGCCCCCACAGGCCTCAGATGCGCGTCAGAAGCTGCCAGTCATTCCAGCTCTTTGGGAGGCTGAGGCAGGAGGATCACAATTCCGATGCTAGCCTGCCGAGTTAGTGAGACTCCGTCTCCAAAGAGAAAAGGAAAAGGCAGGTTAGAGTTGCAGCCTCCATCGGCACACGGTGGCCCTGCGCTTTCCGCCTGCCTCTCTCTCGAGGACGTTCTAGCCCTTCGAAGAGATCCGGAAACGTGGGCGCTGGCAGCTGGCCCAGGCCCCTCCTGTCTCGTGACCTGAACCACCTTGGGCACCCAGACCCCCTTGCGCATTGCCATGGCTGACAGTGGCGGGTAGCAGGGAGGTCCTCGAGCTGGCTTGTCCCTTGGCAGTTCCAAGCTGGGTCCCCTGGCCGCTGCACATTCAGGGCCTCGCCCGGCGGGTGGGTGTCCTGGGCACTGCAGGTGCTGAGCAGCATCCCTGGCCTCTGCTCCAGGCCAGGGCTCCCCCAGATGTCAGCTGGCATCCCCAGGAATCGGGCTCCTTGGCTGAGACCTGGTACCCTGTGGCGGGGGCTGGCTGTGTTGGTGGGCGAAGCCGCACACTGCTCTCCGTCATCAGTGGGCAGTGAGCAGAATCGCACTTCTTGCTGGGTGTAATCCCAGCACTCGAGAGGCTGAGGCAGGAGGATCATTGTGAGTTCGAGACCAGCCTGGACTACAAAGTGAGCTCAAGACCACCCTGAACTGCGTAGCGAGACCCTGTCTCAGACAAAAAAAAAGCACGCTTCTTGCCAGTGAAACACGAGCTTCTGCTTCCTTGGTCATGGCATCCGTGGGGACAGTGAGTGGCTCCAGCTGTTCCTGAATCTGCCCCGAACTCGGAGTCCCCGCGGCCTTCCTCCCTCCATGCCCAGCATAGGACTTGCGGCTGGTGAGCTGATGAGATGAGTTGGGCGTTTGGCCCCTTCAGCTGCAGCCGGGGCCCAGGCGGAGGATTGGAGCTGCGGCCGTCACTGCCCGGGGCCCCGGCACCGGCGTCCCAGCTCTGGGTGGGGCGCTGCTCTTCCGCCGGCAGGCTTGGCGCAGGGAACAGATGTGCGGGATGCCGGCCAGCTCGGCCCAGCGCCCCACTGTGAGCCTGTCCCCACGTGCTGCTCATCCAAGGTGGAGCTGTCACTTGTTCGGTCGCGTTGGAGGCAGTATCCTACCCGTGGCTCGCCTGCATGTCCTGCCTTCTCCCTGGCTGTCCTGAGCCGTCCCCTCTGCCCTGTCCCGTCACAGTGAGTCCCGAGAGCACTGCGCTCCACCTGCAGCTCCCGGCGGAGCCCTGAGGCCCCGAGACTGGCCTGGGCTGTGGGCCGTGACCCCGCGGGCCCTGCTCTCCCCTGCACCCGGAGCACGGGCGGGACAGGTACCAGGCAGTACTGTGCCCTGGGGACCAGGGCCAGGGTTCACAGAGCGCCCCCAACCTGCCGTGCTGGAGCCGTCTCTGATGCCCCCTGTCTTACAGATCATCCCCCCAAAGGAGTGGAAGCCGAGGCAGACGTACGATGACATCGACGACGTGGTCATCCCGGCCCCCATCCAGCAGGTGGTGACGGGCCAGTCGGGGCTTTTCACGCAGTACAACATCCAGAAGAAGGCGATGACCGTGGGGGAGTACCGCCGCCTGGCCAACAGTGAGAAGTACGCCCGCCCGCAGTCCGTGCCCTCCGGGTGTCAGCTGGTGGCCCTAGAAACAAGGTCCAGCCAGCTTCTTCCATGGCACCCTTGGGCCTGGCTGTCACATGTCCCCTGCCCCATGGCCTTCTCCCCTGTCTCCTGTTTCCTGCCTGGTCAGCCACGAGGGCGGGGCCTGGTGTGTCCCGCTCACCTTGTGTCCCTTAGGGAAGGCCCCTGCCCAGCTGCCCTCCTTGTTGTTGGGACTTGAGTCGCAGCACGGAGGCCAAGGAGGAAGGACGTGACAATGGCTCGGCCTCCCCCATGGAACTCTTGCCCCCCCAACGGTCCCTGGGTCCCCAGCAGAGCCCTCCCTGGGTGCTAGAGGCACCCGTGTCCCTTGGAGCCGAGGGTGGGCTGTGACTCCGGGCCGCTCCGAGCTGTCTGATGCTGTCCCCAGGTACTGCACCCCACGGCACCAGGACTTCGATGACCTGGAGCGCAAGTACTGGAAGAACCTCACCTTCGTGTCCCCCATCTACGGGGCTGACATCAGCGGCTCTCTGTACGATGACGTGAGTCCCACGGCACTGGGGCAGAGGGTGTGTGGGCGGGGCCAGGAGAAATCACCGCGACAGCAGGTCTGAGGTTGACACAGAGCATACCCTATTGTGACACAGTGCCTGTCGCTGGCCTCCTGCACACCTGGCCAACCGCAGCTCCCCTGTCCTGGGTGTTGCCTTCCCGTGACCCCACACCGCGTGGCCTTCTGTGTCTGGCGCCTCTCACCGTCTGACCGGAGAGTGGGCTTGCAGGGTGCCGGGGCAGCTGCAGGTGTGCTTGTGGAGGGGCCCGCAGCTGCTGCGCCGTGTGGCGTCCTGTCCCACCCGTGGATGGGGGCTCTGCATGTCCTGTCTGTGCACCCTCCTGACGTGCGCGTCCGTCCCTGCGGGGGTGAGCCAGCGCCTGGGACTGGCGCCCTGCTTGTGGTAGTGACAGCCCTGTCCCGAGGGAGGCCCCTGTGAAACCCTTGGCTCGTGTCTTGGTTGGGCTGTTTGAGTTGCCAGAGCTCCTCATACATTCAGGGTGAGTCCCCACATTTTTTATTTTTATTTTATTTTTATTTTTTTGGTACCGGGAGTCGAACTCAGGACCTTGTGTGTGCCAGGCAGGCGCTTGTGCCACTGAGCTAAATCCCCAGCAATCCCCACATTTTGAGATTTACAAATATTTTCTCCGCTCACTCTGTAAGGTTGTCTTTTTCTTGGTGGTAAGCCCCTTGCCCCATTTTGATTTGATGGAGTCCAGCTAACGGTTTTTTTCCTTTTATTGCTGTGTTTTTGATGTCATATCCAAGTGTCCGTCAACCACTCAAAATTATGGAGAGGCCAGGTGTGGTGATGCACGCCTGTAATCCCAGCATGCAGGAGGAGGCTGAGGCAGGAGGACCACTGTGAGTTCGAGGCCCACCTGGGCTACAAAGTGAGTTCATGGCCAGCCTGAACTGCATAATGAGACCCATCTCAAGAAAACTAAACAAAAAAGAAATCAAAGGCATGGAGAGCTACTCCTGTTTTCTTCTGAAAGTTTTGTAGTCTTGGTTCTGCCTGTGAGCACTGAGTTTATTTCCTTCTTCCTCCTCCTTGTCCTCCCCTCCCCCCTCCTTTCTTCCCCCTTCCCCCTCCCTCTTCCTCTCCCTCTTCTCTTCTCTCTTCCTTTTCTTCTTCATAGAATTGGGAACTGACCCCAGTGCCTTGGTTCTGAGCTCCATCACAGCCCCTTTTTAGTTTTTATTTTCAGACAGGGTCTTGCTAGGTTGCCCAGGCTGGGCTTGAACTTGTGACCCTCCTGCCTCAGCCTCCCAGAGTGCTGGGATGGCAGTTGCATGCCACCGCGCTAGCTGTAGTTAATTTCTTACATTGTGTGAGGTAGTGCTTGCGTTTGCTCTTTTGCGTGGGGACAGCAGTCGCCCCAGCACCACTGGCTGAAAACACTTCTTTTGCCTTTGAGTGGTGTTGGTGCTAGGTGGGCTCCCTTCATCATTTTTGACGTTTTGTTTAGAAAAATAAATGAAATTGTTTTCGAAGACTTTAGGGCCATAGCAGGGTGGGGTAGAAAGTGTGGGGAGCCCCATGTAGCCCTACTGCTGACACACAGCGCCCACCAGAGTTTTGCTGTGACAGGACATGTGGCTGCGTCGGTAGGCTGTGGGCCGTGGGTGTGCACACGGGGGTGGCTGGTGCGGGCGCTGGGCTGTATGAGTGGGGTTGCCTGGACAGGAGCCACCGACCTCTCCTCGGGGCGGCTGTGCCGCTCACACCCTCGCCAGCCCTGAGCGGGGCTTCTGGTCACGGCCGTGCTGTTAGCTGCCGTGCCTCCTGACGCGTGTGCGGTCGTACCCAGCTGTTTCAGCCTGCAGTTCCCACCAGCTTGTGAGATGGCCCTGTTCACATGTTTGTTTGCTGTCTATCCAGTTACCTTGTCCAGGTGCCTCTTTGGCGCTTGTGTTTTGTCTGTTGTCTTTGAGACAGGGGCTCGCTCTGTAGTCTAGGCCTTGGTCTCACTGAGTAGCCCGGGCTGGCCTTGAACTTGAGGCAGTCTTCCTGCCTCAGCCTCCTCAAGACTGTTTTCTTTTTGTTTTTTTTTTTTTGAGACAAGGGCTTGCTATACAGTTCAGGCTGGCCTTAAACTCACTTTGTAGCCCATGCTGGCCTTGAACTTGCAACGATCCTCCTGCCTCAGCCTCCTGAGTCCTGGGATTACAGGGTGCACGCTTGGCTCGAACAGTGGTTTTTATTTTTTTCTTCCAGTACTGGTATGACAGGCATGTGCTACCATGCCCGGCTCATTTTTGGGTCTTCAGCCCAATTCCAATGAGGTTGTGCCCTGCTACTGCATTTTGAGTCATGTTTGAGGTCCTTTATTAGGTGTTCTGCTGCAGGCCATTGCCCCAGCCTGGGGCTTGTCTTCTCATCCCTTACAGCTCTGCTGTTACTGTTTTAAAATAAAATCTGAAAACAAGAGCCCCGTCCCCTGAGAAACCCAACTTGTGTGCTGCTCCCACCAGCTGCACGCAGCCTTGGCTTGGTGAAGGGTCTGCGGCCATGTGTGCCTTCAGAGCTCTGGGGCCGGGTGTGGGAGCCGTGCTGCCGTGGGCCTGCGGCAGTCAGGGCTCCCCGTGGGTTTCCTGTGCTGAGCAGCGCTCTTTTCACACACTGGGAGATGGAGGCAGGGCAGAGAAGCATCTCACCCGCCCCACAGGATATATCAGCGCCCTGGGTCAGACTCGGTCCGAAAGTCGCCTTCTCTCTGCCCCCAGCATGGTCCGCCACTGCTGTGCGCATGCAGGGTGGACGGGGGACAGGTTGGCCCTAGCCGTAGCATGGGGGTTAACCCATTTCTGATGTCCCTTTCCCGGCCTTGGGCAGGTCCTACTCGTGGGGACCTTGGCCTTCTTTTTTTTTGTTTGTTGGTTTGTTTTCCGGTACTGGGAATCGAACTCACGACCTTGCGCTTGCCAGGCAGGTGCTGTGCCGCTGAGCTAAATCCCCAGCCCCTGACCTTGGCCTTCTTACCCTCGTCTCCAGGGGTCTGATGCTGCCACCTCTGTGTTCTGGGCTCCTGCCAGGGCTCCGCTTGCAGTCGCCGCTGGTCCTTGGCATGGTGTCCTAAGCGGCTGGCTGAGGGGGACCGGGTCGGGAGGGGACACTCAGGTCCCTGAGTGTCCTGCAAGCTGCGGGGCTCAGACTTCCCCAGGCCTGGAGTTTATTGGCGAGTTTTAGGAGCCCTCACGGTGGAGTCCCTTGTCTGCCGGCTTCGCACTGTCATGTCTCCTGGGACGGAAATGCTGGAAGGGCTGTCACAAGAGCAGGCCCTGCGCCAGCGCCGGCTCGCCCTGCATGGGGGCTGCGTGCTCCCTCGTTGGTGGTTCAGGACCCAGTGCAGGCTTTGCCCTGCACGGCTGGTACACGGTGCAGCGCAGGGTCCTGTGGGGGTCCGAGGGGCAGTTGGGGGGCAGGTGTGCCGGGCTGTCCTGTCCTGCAGTAATCAGCCCTGGTGGCTTTGAACTCGGCGGCGGGCAGGCTGACAGGTCCCAGGCTCTTGGACACCCAGTGTACAACCGGGAGCTCGGGGTGACCGACCCCGCCTTCCTGTTCCTCCCTGGGTGCACAGGGAGGCCATCCTGGGTGGTGACCGTGCTGACCCGCCTGGTCCCCCTGCCCGCCCGCAGGACGTGTCACAGTGGAACATCGGGAGCCTGCGCACCATCCTGGACATGGTGGAGCGCGAGTGCGGCACCATCATCGAGGGCGTGAACACGCCGTACCTGTACTTCGGCATGTGGAAGACCACTTTCGCCTGGCACACGGAGGACATGGACCTCTACAGCATCAACTACCTGCACTTCGGCGAGCCCAAGTCCTGGTGAGTGAGCGCCGCGCCAGCCAGAGCTGGGGCGGTGCTGGGGTCCTGGGCAGGTGGTGGCAGTCGGGCTCCGTGCCACCCTGGGCTGCAGCTTTGACTCGTATTCCCCTGGCTGTGGCCTTGGCCCCTGGGTCCAGGCTGCAGACTGGTTGGTGAGCCGATCCGAGGGCCACCCCTGGAGGTGAGTGCTGGATTGTCAAAGCCATGGTGGGCCCAAGGGCTGTGTGGGGACATCCTGACACGTGTGTCCCCTTGGTGTCTGCCCTGGACTTGGTGCCAGGGCCACAAGACTGCATCACTGGGCAGGACAGCGCCGGCCACTGCTGCAGCGGGGCCTCTGCTCCTCCTCGTGCCAGCAGTGGCTGTTCCTGAGGCCCCTCCGTGTCCCCAGCTGTCTCAGCGCATCTGCTGTCCCAGCTCAGAGGGTGTGAGCAGGAGGGGGCCGCACAGAGCTGGCGGTGCCGAGGGGAGGGGAAGGCACCTCAGGGCCCAGGTGACTTGGGGTGTCCCAGGCATGCAGCCCCGTCCAGCTGGGGGGGTGGCTGTGTCTCCCCTTGCTGTCAGCCCCTCTTCAGTGCCAGCTGACAGGACCGTCCCGCCCTGCTGTGGAGGGGCCGAGCGGCCAGTGCGGGCTGTGCTCCCTGCCCACCCGGCTGCTGTTGCAGGCAGAGCCCGCACCCTGCTGTCGCAAGTGGGGACACCCAGGCAGGCGGAGGCCGGGCACTCGCGTGGGTGGCACAGGTCTCCCAGGGCTGCTGTGACCTCATACGTGCCTCGAGGGCTGCGGCAGTGCAGACATCCTCTCTCACAGCCACGGAGCTGAGAAGGCCCAAGCCAGCCTCCTGGTTGAGTCCAGGCGTGGGCAGCAGGGCTGCTCCCTCCCAAGGTACCAGGGAGAACCAGGCTCCCTGTCTTGCTCCTGAAGGCGCCCAGAGCCCTTGGCTTGTGGTTGCTTCCTCCATCTGCAGAGCCAGCAGCGAGGTGTCCTCGGCCTTAGGGGCCGTCACCGAGCCCAACTGCACAGTCCCTCTGCCATGGAGGTGACATTTGTACAGGTCCCTGGGCGGACGATGGGACATCACAGGCCCTTAGTCTTTTTTTTTTTTTCTTTTTGAGACAGGGTCTCGCTATGTAGTTCAGGCTGGCCTTGAGCTCACTTTGTAGCCCAGGCTGGTCTCGAACTCAGTGATCCTCCTGCCTCAGCCTCCTGAGTGCTGGGATTACAGGCGTTTGCCGCCATGCCCGGCTAGGCCCTTGTTCTTGCTGTGCTGGCTGCAGGCACCAGCTCGGGACACTGTTTTTTGGAATCTGGTCATCCCCCCAGAGTCTTCAGTCCGTGTCTCCTTTTCACGCCGTTCTGCAGCTTTGCATCCCCCTCCTCTCGGGAACTTGTAGCTGAGGTGTTTGCTGTCTGGGGGAGCAGTGACGAGATGGTGTCAGGGGGTGTCCCTGTCTCTCAAAGGGCTCTCGTCTGCGTTGGGGGAACCAGAAGCGCCGTGTGCAGCGTTGGTGGCCAGTGCCGTGTGAAGGCCGTTTCCAGGTGCGGCGACCCTGTCTGGTCCTGTGTGGAGAGGGCCTGGCCAGGCTGCCCTGGAGTCCCAGCGATGCTCCCCCACTGTCTTTTCTACTAGCGGACCTGCCCAGGGTGGGAAGAGTGTGGCCACTGCAGCCTGGAGACCCTGAGTGTGCCTGTGGGCTCAGTCTGCCGCTTCCAGGGGTGGGCGGCAGTTGCAGTTGGGCTCCAGCACCCAGGACGTGGTCCACAGGGGAGACTGTGTGCCATGGGCAGAGTGTGTGTTGTCGGGTAGATGTGGCACTGCCTCTGGTGGGACTGTCCTGCTGCCAAGGACCACTAGGTGGCGCTGCTGCCCTTCTGGAGCGCTGTGCTCTGGCTGTTCTGTGGTCTTCCTTGCCGCTGCTGGCTGAACCTGGGGCGGGGAGTGGCGGGGTAGGCACTGGTTCCTGGCCTGGTGGAGCTGGGGAGGTGGCTCCTCTACCGAGCCCTCGACTTCCTTAGGTCTTGGGGAGAAAACTGCGTCTTCTCCTTAAAAAAGAACACAGAAAGCAAAGCCAAAAAGAAACACAGCACCCGCAGTGCAGACCCTCAGGACCCTGTGTGTGCTTTGTTTTTTTCTTTTTCTTTTTCTTTTTTTTGGTCCTTTTGAGACAGAGTCTCCCTATGCAGTTCAAGCTGGCCTTGAACTTAACTTGTAGCCCAGGCTGGTCTCGAACTCGCAATGATCCTCCTGCCTCAGCCTCCCTAGTGCTGGGATTACAGGCGTGCCCTGCCATGCCCAGCTCCCATGTGTGCTTTGGAGGGCCTCTGCCCACCCGCCGCACTCACCAGCCTGTGCCTTGCTGTGTACAGCACCCTGTGCCCAATCTTCACCCCCACCTGCATCCTCCCATAACCACGTGGGAAGACCGCTGGGGACCCTGAACACACGGGAGCCCGTCCGGGGAGATCGCAGCAGCAGCTGAACCTGGCTGTTTCCAGTGTTGCCGTATGGGTCTGCCCCGGAAGGGCGCTGCTGCCTCTCCCCAGCCTCTGCTGTGGCCAGGTTCCCAGTGCGCTGCACCTGCAGGCCCAACCTGGGGCTGCGTCCTGCCCAGTGACCCACCAGGCCACGGGCTGCGGGAGGACGGGACCCTTCGGGAGGTCAGTGACCCAGAACTGCTGTGACGCGAGGGTGTCCTCGGCCTGTGGGCCGTTCCTTCTGTCCTCCCTGGGCTGGGTTTTGAAGGCCACCTGGCCCCTACAGCAGCGCCCTGCTGCCCACCCACCCTTTCGCCCATCCCTGAGCCCGGCTGCCAGCTGGGGGTGCCCGGAGGATGGGGCAGCACAGCTGTGCCTGTGACTGTGCGCCGCGTCCCTAATTAGAGCCTCCTCTCCCGTCGGGGTCGGCGTGATTGCGCTGCTTGGTGTGTCGGTGGCGAAGCGTCTGCTTACGGGTTTGCAGGGGCTCGGGAAGTCGTCCTGGGCCGCGCCGCTGTGGTAGTGAAGCCTGCGTATCACGGCGGTGTGAAAGCTGGGCGGCCGCCTGGGCTTGTTTCTGCAGCTCTCACACCTCCCCCGACGGCCCTGCCATTTGTTGTCACCACCCTGTTTCCTCCAGGGGTGCGGGCCAGGGGGCTGTGCTGGTGGTGCAGCTGGGTGAGCTGTCCGCCCCCTGCTGTGTGGTGCAGCCAGGATGGCACTGCATGGTCCGGCCACTCTCACGTCACCTGTCACCTGGCCTCTGGGTCCCAGCCTCGTCCTGTGACCACGGCAGGGGCTGGATGCCGTCAGGAAGCCCAAGTTGGGGGCCTGGCTGGGTCTCTGCTGGCCACGCGGGACTGCGCGGCCTTGAGCTCAGCCCCTTGGTGGTGGGGGCCCCATGCGGGCTCCTCGGGCCTTGGGCACTGCCTGGCTGGCACAGGCTCCCGAGAGGGGAGGGGAAGGCGGGGCGCGGCTTCGAGCTGGTGCCGTTTGGAACGGAGATGGCGCCCAGCCTGACGGCTCAGGCTCACCCCACACGGCACCCGTCACCGGCGTGCGATGCTGGTGGGAGACAGACGCGCACCTCCTGCGCTGGCCACCCCAGGTCCAGCCCTGCTCAGGGTGGGGAGGCCAGAGGGAAGAGAGCCCGCCAGGTGATGGGGCTGGGGCGAATGGGGCTCCGTCCCGCACTGGGGACGCGAGCCAGGTCTCTTTCCGCAGCCGCAGAGGGAGCTGCGGTGACAGGAAGGCAGGGAACGGGTGCTTCAGAGGGTGAAGCTGCGGAGAGCAGGTGTCGTTGGCGGTGCCTGGAGAGCAGTCGTGGGCAGCTCTGGAGACACAGTGTCTGCACACAGCGGGCCTGGCTGCCCCTGGGCCCGGGCCTGTTTCTTGCCAGAGCAGTGAGGCCACGGAGCAGCCCCAGCCCGTCGCCACCCCGGCCTGTCCTGCCGCCCTGCTGTGTCCCTGGCCCCGTGTATGGGGGCGGGGGCAGCTGTCTCGCCTGTACTTGGTGTCCATGGAGTGCCGTGCGGAGGGGCCGTCACGCTGCAGAAGGAGCCCCCTTCCCGGTCAGGCAGCGGTTGTCCCACTCACAGACGGCTGTGCAGGCCCACGGAACCCACGCAGGCCAGAGCCCCTCCCGCAGGGGCAGCTGGGACCAGCCGAGGGGCGCGGCCCCAGCCCATTGGTTCGGGGTATGGTACCTGTGCTTGGGTTTCGGGCACATGAGTCATCCTGAGATGCTGACGCAGCCGCAGGAGGAAGGGACACCCTTCTGGGTCACTTGCCCAGGTCCTCTTACCCAGCCAACGGCCGCAACCGTGGCTCTTGAGCTGCCTGCTCTGTCCAGGCCTCGCACTCGGGCTGCTTCAGAAGCGCACGTCCCCGGCGGGTGTCCACCTGCCCCCATCAGCCCCCGAGGACCCGGGTGCCGGTGCCACGCAGAGCCGCAGCTGTGTGCCTTCACCCGCGGGCTTGCGTGTGGCACAGACCGGAGAGGGTCTCTGGCCATGTGCATCTGACCCGAGGGACCCTGGTGGCAGCCCTGTGGCCCGTGTGCCGATGAGAGCCGGGCGCCGCTGCGGCCAGCCTCCCCCACACTCTCCAGAGCTTGGCGCAGCGGGGCTGGCGCTTGGCTCAGGCTCAGTGCCGCGGCCAGGAGAGCCCGGCATGCGGGAGCTGATGGAGGGGACAGCGGAGCTATGCCTGGCTCAGGTCCCCTCCGGCCCTCTGTACTGAGCCCTTGCCTTGCTCTTGTCTCCACCACTCTGTCTTCCGCAATGCCACTGGCCCAGGCCTTCTGCTTGTCAGGACTGGATAGTAAATCTCAAGCCAAAAGCCGCTTGCAGTGTTCACAGAACTAGCTGAAGCCGGGGGGCTGCCTGTGCCCAGATCAGGGCGTGGCATGCTGCCACACAGCGAGGGGATCGGGTCGTTGTCAGGGGTGGTCTGATGACGCCAGGCAGTTGAGGGTTTGGAGCACATGGCCTGTGCTCCTGAGTCCCAGCCACCCCATTAGGCC